TGGATATTATAGTGATTTCAATGGTTGAGATCATGAGTCAGTTGAAGCTAGACCACCATGGAAAACTTGGAAGCACTAGACTGCTGTTTCGATTTATTGTGGGACTTCTGAGTAGTGAGCACCCGCGACTTCGCCCCCTGCGAGATTCGAACCCGGGACCTAGTGCTTTCGCACTCGAGCACTTAACCACTAGACCACTGAGCCGGCTGGCATCCAACGGTGTTAATGTCTAACTTCAACTAATCCACCAAACTGAGCGACACATCTATCATTATCTTCAGTGAGTTACTATCTCACAACAGACCTGGTTGAACTCCACTGGTCACTACTTCTCACTAGAACTCCAGGATATACCTCGGATATATAATAACCAATAATTTGTTCAGTGAATACTTTGTTATAATAATGAACATTAGCAATCAATTTATAACTAGTTTAGATTCAATTTGAAGCGTGGTTACAACCAGTGATAATTTGTTTCACAACACGCTATTTCTTTATTATGTTTTTCTTATTCATTTCTCGATGTGTCCGAAGAGATTTAAATTTTTAACAAGAAGCTATTGTATATATATTTTGTTAAATATTATTTATTTAATGGAAAAAGTAAACTGTATTGATCGAAGACAAAGATCAAGAATCATTACTCTAGTTTGAATAATAAGAATTCTGAATCAGCAATGTTCAAGTCAATTATCGAGTAGCAATTTACTTATACAGTTCCCTCTCCATCATCCAATTTTATTAACTAACTTTTTTTCCATGTATTTTATGTGATTCTCTTTAATATGAAGGATATAAGGGCGGCCTGCTTGAGCATCTGGGCTACCTGTTCCTGCCATCTAGATATTTCAACAAGTTATCTATTGTTGTTTGTTTTAATATATCCTTATGTTTATTAATCGCATAACCTATTCTGCTGCGTTTCTGAAAAGTGTACAACCTTTCGTTGTCAAAGTTACAGAAAACTCAATAAGAGACAATGTGGTTGCTGGCAATGTACAACGAAAAGAATGTACATTATTCAGTTGTTCATTCACTGAAGTGCTAACATCTAACTGGCGATTCCTCAATATTTATCGCCAGGACCGACCAAGAAGAAAGAAACGGAAACTTGTTGAAATACTTTGCGCTGAGAATTCTATATTGTACCAAAATTATAATATTGAATAAAGCTAATAATAATAATAATAATAATAATAATAATAATAATAATAATAATAATAATAATAATAAATCCAGTCTATTTGATATTAGGAGTGTTCGTGCACGAGACGAAAGACCCTGGGTTCGAATCTCTCGAGCGGGATCATGGATACACACTGCTGAAGAGTCACACAATAGGATGAAACGGCTATCCGGTGCTTCCAGACTTTCAGTAGTGGTCTAACATCATTCAGTTCATAATTTCAATCAAAAGCTTAATAATCTCCACAACCCTATACTGATAATATTATTTTAGCATCTTGTATTTAAACTTTGATTTTGAAAACTAAATTTGATAATACGTAGAGAAACACAGTAGGTTAACTATAGTTAACTAAATATAGTTAATATTATCACATACATTCACATAGGAAATATGGGATGTTATTCAACATGATAATGAAGTACGATCCTGAAACATCATTATTATCATTATGATTATTAACAATATTATTTTTATTATCTTTATTATTACTATTTATTAGTACCCACTTACATCTGTACTTCTTACATAGTTACTTCTTTATGAAGCCAAGAATAGTGGTATGTAGATAGATGAGTTGTAATAGAAACTAAACTATTAAACAAGTTATTACTTCTAAGTATGAAAAACACTTTAGACGACCAAAATAATAAAATGAATACATATAATACTTATTTTAAAAATTACAGAGCATTTTCATGAAATATAAACATAGAAAATTGAGTATCATGTATTTAGAAGTAGTTGACTGAAAATCCTGTAGCTAAGATTCATTCTAATGAGAACTCATCAGAGTGAATTATCCGTTGTCTTGTGAGAACAGATGCTCTTCAGAAATCTAAACTTGTATCTCACATTATGAGACGTTAACAGTGATCTATGTGAGCTGAGATTTATCTCCTATAAGGCTGAAATATTTACAATTTATTAATCATTACATGATGGCTAGTGTTACTTACATTTAGCTCTTTAGTACAGCTGGAATTCTATCGGTCAATTTGTAAGTGGTTTCTAGTCTAAATGACTGGGCTTGACAAATAGCTCGCTCAACACTAAAAGACAAGATAATTATGATAATAACAACTGTTCAATAAGGAAAAATTATGACTGAGTTAGTTATATCTCATAATTACAGATGCTTGATTGTATGATATTGTAATAATATGTTCACACAATAAGTTATTGATCCATTTACATTAGTTACTCCCCAGTTGAAATTAATATCATTATAAATTTAGTTTCCAAGTTCTCTTGTCATTTTGCGTTCGCAAACGCTGAAATTCATGATCCAATTTACTAGGTCTTAAAAATTGTCAAACTTTAAAGGTACTGATATTGATGATATTCTATTCTTGACCATTGTCTACAAAATAATGTATAAAGGATGTCGCTTTTGTTTTGGTTTTATGCCTTTTTCAGAATGAGTTAAACCTTCTGAAACTTTTTTGTCATGATATTTATATACTACAAATTTATATACTAAAAATCCTTATTCAAGATGATCAGTAATTCAATATCCAAATGACTTCCTTGTTTCAAGTGTTACAGCAGTTTTCGTAGTTATAACACTAATCAATGGCATTGATTAGAATAATATGATTAAACAACAAAGTTGAGCGTTTAAACCGTTCTATATCGGCTTAGTGGTCAAAAAGGGTTATTGGTTCGGGTAATATCGCGATTGCTCCAATTGTCTCAAAACTAATGAAGAGATAGTTTTTTGTCTTACAATATACTGAACGTGTATTAATCAAAATCAAAATAAAACATTGTTGATCGGAATATGCCATAGTAACTTTCTATCGTTCTTAAATAAGAAGAATGAACTAATACAAGTATATGAATCAGGACCTTCGTAAACAGATTCGTTCAACATTGCCAAAAAAATAATTGTTTTGTTTCACTACTGATTATTTGATCAGTAGGTAAAATGTGATCAAGAAAGATTTCGACTGCTTAATTAATTCATTAATTATCCCATAGATTATCTGATTTCAATATTTCTATAGTATTGTGACCAGTTGTCTTGATTATCTAACTTAAATCATTCGCGTGAAGTGTTTAGAAACACCTTTCTGCATTACGATTAAAGGGAGTCGACTAAAATGTTATAAATCGATATTAAATTTTTTTGTTATTTACACTAAATGTGTTTAGATAGGAATTTCGGTATTTCATTGCTTCCAGTTTGATTTTTCAGATACTATATTCTGTCAAAGCGTTACTTATTCAAAACACGCACAACGCTTTACATGATTACTTTTGAATTTAATATCACTCAGTAGGTTTTATGGGGCGAGATGAATTTTGCAAGGTTACGTGTGATTGGGAATGTAATAAGACCGATAAAATTCCGTTTTTTTTATAATGTAATAAACGTATATGTGGCTCAATAAAAGAATTACGGAGTAAAACAATACATAATGATCCATTTAACCGCTTAAGTCCTCACAATCTCCATTACGGATTAATTATAGTTAGAAAACTATTGAAAACTAGAAAACACCAAAATCTTGTTTTGTACCTAGCACAATAGTCCTTAGTAGTGGCTTTTAATGATCCTACTGTAAATTGAACCTATGATATTCGATCACTTTTTTTGCTCTTAACCTCTTGATCATTTGTCCAGAGTGCAATAGTGTTCATGTATAATTTCAATCAATCATTTTCTTTAATATTTTCACTAGACATAAAAGCTGTCATGGAAAATTTAATCTTTTCTATTCTGAATTGGATGTTTTCATGATGGTTAAAGTAAAAAATTATGTCAATAGTTTGATCCATCAACTGTAACTGCATCCTATCTCGTAATAAATACACTTGTGATCATCTATAATATCTACAAAATACATTTATTAGTTTTTAATAAGGATAAAAGCACAAATGAATAGTATAAACTTTTAGCAATGTAATGTATGTCCTATTTACTTCCAACGTGTTTTCCTAATTTACTATTCAGCTCGATGCTGGTTTGTTCTCTCACATTGTAGGCTGTTGATGACGGTATTCAACCAACGGACATTCAGTATCTTGTGTAGACAACCATTTATAAATAATTATGCTTTTTTGATAATGGTTGTGTTAGTTCTCTAGGTTTCAGCTCCATACAGCAGAACCGTCTTGACGTTCGTACTGAAGATTCTCACTTTGATATTAGTTAACAGTTGTAATGAGTTCCATATGCTACCATTACTTTGTCAATCCGTGATTTTACGTCTGCATCGGGTCCTCCTTGTTCATGGAAAGATTCCACATCTTCTAATGCTTCTCCAACAAATACGGTTGGCTTGGTGTTTGTTATGTTGTATTTGAGGATCTTGATTTTTCTGTTGTGTGTGTTGAAGCCTACTGATGAAGAGACTGCTGTTAGGCTGATTGTTTTCATCTGTATTTTTTTATATGTACGGGATATAAGTGATCGGTTATTTGCCAAGTCCAAATCTTCTAATTGATTCCAAGCTATCCATTTTGTTCTTTGCTTCTGTATTTACTTAGGAAAACTAACTTCAAATTCATGATCCAGTATTCTAGAAAAAGAATCGAACATAACAGTTTATAGCACACTTTTATTAAATGTAAAGTTTTATGTTTAATTTGTGATCAATTCACGAATAGTCAGATATAATGAAATATTAAAGATGCACAATTTTAATTTCATATCGCATTTGTAAAGAACACAGGAACTTAAGACAAATGTTCTTTCAACCTCTGTAAACTAAAATATGTTAAACGACAAATGTAATTGTTTGGTTTTCTCCAAAAATTCATTAGATACTTTATATTAAATAAATAATCGTATAAAAAGGTATGCTTAATAAATCCTCCTCCTCCTCCTCCTCCTCTCCTCATCATCATCATCATCATCATCATAATCATCATCATCATCATCATCATCATCATCATCATCATCATCATCATCATCATCATCATCATCATCATCATCATCATCATCATCATCATCATCATCATCATCATCATCATCATCATCATCATCATCATCATCATCATCATCATCATCATCATCATCATCATCATCATCATCATCATCATCATCATCATCATCATCATCATCATCATCATCATCATCATCATCATCATCATCATCATCATCATCATCATCATCATCATCATCATCATCATCATCATCATCATCATCATCATCATCATCATCATCATCATCATCATCATCATCATCATCATCATCATCATCATCATCATCATCATCATCATCATCATCATCATCATCATCATCATCATCATCATCATCATCATCATCATCATCATCATCATCATCATCATCATCATCATCATCATCATCATCATCATCATCATCATCATCATCATCATCATCATCATCATCATCATCATCATCATCATCATCATCATCATCATCATCATCATCATCATCATCATCATCATCATCATCATCATCATCATCATCATCATCATCATCATCATCATCATCATCATCATCATCATCATCATCATCATCATCATCATCATCATCATCATCATCATCATCATCATCATCATCATCATCATCATCATCATCATCATCATCATCATCATCATCATCATCATCATCATCATCATCATCATCATCATCATCATCATCATCATCATCATCATCATCATCATCATCATCATCATCATCATCATCATCATCATCATCATCATCATCATCATCATCATCATCATCATCATCATCATCATCATCATCATCATCATCATCATCATCATCATCATCATCATCATCATCATCATCATCATCATCATCATCATCATCATCATCATCATCATCATCATCATCATCATCATCATCATCATCATCATCATCATCATCATCATCATCATCATCATCATCATCATCATCATCATCATCATCATCATCATCATCATCATCATCATCATCATCATCATCATCATCATCATCATCATCATCATCATCATCATCATCATCATCATCATCATCATCATTCTTTCATAATGAATAAAATGCATGAAACGAACTTTCATATTCAACTCCAATATAATCTATTCTTATAATTAGGTTCTTTCATAAAAGATTATAAACTATACTAATACATTTAAAACATTAAATATACTTAAAAATCAAAGAAACTACAAAACAACAACACTAAAAGCACATTATCCATTCAATTTAATTATAATACAAACCTAAACACTAGTATGTATCATAATGTCACCAGAACTAATCAACGTGTTATTATTCTATAGAATTTTAATTAACTCTTAGGAAGATCTAATCTCAAGTCATTAGTTTCTATATGATCTATATATTGTTATCTCTTGTACCACATACATGTATTTCTTCAGTGAGTAGTTCATTAAAACAGCAATAAACATTATATCTATTCTTTGAATAATCTATGCATGAATAAGTTAGATGGATAAATATTTATGTATATATATAGAATGATAAATGTTTAGACGTCATTAAGGAAGTAGATTTTGTCAAACAATAATCATAATAATACTGATAATAGATATATAATCGTAATCATACAATTCATTAGGTAGCATAATTATTATTTATTCAAATAGAACTGTAATTTCATTTCTCTTTAATTATCTAATCTCTAATGAATAATACAAAATTAATTAGATCTTTGTTATTGAATATTAACTTTGACAGAAATACAGTTTTGTTCTTTCATTTTTGTTTGTTTGTTTGTTTTTCTTTTTGATGTTCATTTTCTCTTTTTTTTTATTTACTTTTTTTTGTTTTCTATTCTATATTAAAATGTTGTTAAACGTAGAAAGAAAAATTAGATAAATGATCGAAAAAAAAGAAGAAAAAAAAAGGAAGGAGAAAGGCGAAATAATACACTCACACATAGATTATCATAGTCTATTTATGTATACATGTTTTTTTATAAAAAAAAATAAAGATAAGAATGAAATCAATGCAAGATTTTGTAAAGAATAAAGATATTTAACAACAATGATCTGAATTATGTGGGGATACAGGAAAAAGGAATGAGAGACTAGAATATATTACCACCATTTTGGGGATGTATTTAAAAGAGGAAATATAAATTTAGGAAGAAAAATAAAAGAATTCGTATTATGGTTTATGTGTGTGTGTTTGTGCTATTTATATCGACATAAGTAGTATATAATGCAAGTGAGGAATATAATGTCTGGCTGCAAATGATTGAGAAGGGAAGAACTGGAATAGAAATGTAGGAACAATGAAGTGTGAGACAATTAATGAACATTTTACAAATAAAATATTAGAGTATGATTTTTCAATTTTACTAAGTAACTCTATGGCTTCATGCTATAATATAATTTGGCTGTCCTCACCTATGTTCACCATCACTACAGTGTATGTTATAAGTTCCATTTAAGTGGTAATTCATTTAGATTTGTCATAGTAACACTCAGTAGTATTAGTATTAGTATGGATTAGTGTACTTTATTAAATTCGCAAATTATTAGTTGAAGGGTACTTTATAAATGTAACTCTTTTCTGTTTGTAATATCCTATTCATCCTGAAACTTATAAAACATTTGAGCTTTTTTAATGATTATCAAACTACTCATTGAAAAACTGAGCTGAGTACAAGTGATGTTTGGGAATGGAAAACTTCAGGAAGAATTGATGAGTTTTTTATTTACAAGAAAGACACATTGATAATGATAAAATATAGATTATTACTATTAATGGCTTTATTCAATACTGTATTTTTTACAACATAGAATTCTCAGCACAAATATTCCAACAAGCTTCCATTTCCTATTTCTTAGTCGATCGTGACGATAAATATCGAGTGATCGATAGTTAGATGCTAGCAGTCCAATCAATCGACATCTAAATAATATACATTCTTTTCGATACATATTGCCAGCAACGACGATATCTCTGATTCAGCGTATAGTAACTCGTACAGCGAAAGATCGTACATGTTCCAGAAACGCACAGAATTACATAACTTGTTGAAATATTTAGATGGGAGGAACAGGTCACCCAGATGTTCAAAAAAGTCGCCATGTAAGATATCTTAGCTATTCAATGACATAATTTAAGTATTTTATTTACGACATTTCGTAATCAAATGTAATTTTCTCTGATATCTTTATTCACAAATTTTTGTACTACTATTATCATTACTAATCGTTAAACATCATTATTCATCACCCCAATACATGATTCATTCACTTCGCATTCATTCCTCCTTAGTACGTCTTACTAATTTTTATCAGAAGAGGTTTTTGTGGATATTATAGTAATTTCAATAGCATAGATCATGAGCCAATGGAAGCTAGACTGTCATGGAAAACCTGGAAGCACTAGACAACAGTTTCGTCCTATTGTGGAATTCCTCAGCAGTGCACATCCACAATCTCACCTCGCGGGATTCGAACACAGGACCTATAGGTTTCGGCCATTCAGTGTTTCCACGTTTTCCACGATGGTCTAGCTTCAATTAACTCATGATCTCAACTATTGAAATTATCAATTTTTCACACAATATCGTATTCCACCAAATTGTAATTGCACTATTATTTCTCTCACCCTATCTGACCCATATTTATTCGAACTATGGATTCTAAATCTTCACTTAGTATATAAGCTGACTCAAATTAACATTCTATATGAGTCATATCAGCACTAACAATTTGATCCTATTTCGTTTGACAATCCTAAATTCACTTGCTTTATTTTTAAACGATGTAGTTTACCCTTGACCTGATCATTTTTCAGATGATTAATTTGAATATCTGAATTGTAGAACCTGAAGAGAATTTCTCAAAAAGGATATTCTTCATTCAAATATTAGTCTTTTAATATTATAGACCTCTAACAAGTAAGCGAAAGAAATAATTCACTCATTGTATTTCAACCGCATTTACAAGTAGACTTATTTTATTAGAATGAAATGTAACTCTATTTTGTGTAGTTTACAATTTCAAAATATTCTTTTCTTTGTCATTAGCCTAGAAACGTTTACGTGTAGCTTAAATGTATACACTTGAATGTACTTCGACTTTTTTTAGCCAACAGTTCAGTCTACTGAAATTCTGTGGCTCAGTAGTATTATATAACCAAACTATCAGCAACCCGATACGCAGAAGAATTTTCTTTCAAAAAAAAAATCTCTAAATTATGAAAACTTGTGTTTTTTCTTTCAAACGAATATCATGTTCAAGCGAATTGAGCTATTCTAGTTGAAAATTATGTGTTAGCCACAATGCTCCCAGACCAATTTATTGTGTTTATTACTGTTAGGTCCCTTGACAAGTTTAAGCAGAACAAGAACCAATAAGTTTATAGAACGAAAGCAATCCATTCTTATTGATGGGTTCATATCAATTGCAAACAGCCTGAAATTACAATGACTGGCATAATTCCAAACGACGGTTCCAGCATAATTTAATTAGTAAAGTTTGCCTGAATATTTGAAATGGAACCAAATACCATAATAAGAACACAACAAAAGATTTATGAATAAATATGATTAAGATTGAGATGTCTTAAACTATACGGAAGTAAAGGGCTTGTTGTCACAGTTACTATTAGTCACATTTAAGAAAAAGTGAATATATAATTTCTATTAAATTAATAAGTAATTGTGTAACCACCCAACAATAAATTAGAAACAAAATCAAATCAATATCATTATCAATAAGATCATGTGAAAGATATTAAAGTTTATAAGACTGAGAGGTTTTGAAGGGTAATTTGATTAGAATTACGATAATCAAAGCAAAGGCTTTTCAGGCATTACATCTGTATGTAGAGAATAGTTCGGGAACGTTTAATAGTAATGTTACTCGCAAAATGAAGCAAGAGTGATGTCAGTGGTTGATTAATTATTATTTTTAAATGCATAATTGATACCCACTTTATATAGACTACACATTAAGTGTCAAGCAGTTTGAATTTTGAAGACTTTCTTAGTTTTCAAAGAAAGTTTCTTTGGAAAGTGGTTAGAAAATCTGACGAATACGTTCCATTCTGTCCTTCCAAAATAGTTACTACGGTAATTACAAATAAATTCGTGTACATTATATTCTAAATAATTTCTTAGAAACTCAATTAAAGTAGTTATTATTACTTATAAGTAGTCGCAATAACTACTGTTTTCTCTTTGAATGTAAAAGTGTATGGCTACCATAAGAATGCAAATTTTCTTTTAACTTTAGTTTATAACCAAAGTGAAAAGAAATAATGTAGGCAGGTCAGTGACGAACATTTCAATTTTTACATAATGGTCATAAATGCAGTATATTTTCACTGTAAATTTTAGAGATCGAAAAGATGTTTAGATTGCTATCTTACCACGACGACATCTGATAAACAAAAAGAGGGCGAGCAGCATGACTTGACAATATATAAGCTCAAGCACTAAAGTCACAAACATGCTCCACACTATAGTGAGGAACATTTGGGAGGAAGAACAAGTGAAGACGGACTAGAAAGAAGGACAAATCAGCAAGATGTAAAAGAAAGAAAACCAGAGCAAATGTGAGAACTACATGAGAATCACACCACTACTAGTACCATGAAAGGTTTTAAACAGAGTGTTGCTCAACAGAATGGAAGATTTAGTAGATGCACAACTTTGAGATCAACAGGCAGGATTCCGTAAAGATCGGTCGTGCACACACCAAATCACCACATTACTGATCATCGTTGAGCAATCACTTGGATGGAACACTTCATTATACATGAACTTCTCTGATTAGGAGAAGGCGTTTGACAGTGTGAATAGAAGGACATTATGGAAACTTCTCCGACACCATTTTGTACCTGAGAATATCTTCAAGATTATCCGGAATTCATATGACGGACTACAGTGTGAAGTGTTGTACGGTGGACAGTTGACAGATGCATTCCCATAAGGACCGTAGTCAGTATAGCCCTAAATTGGAATCGTGAAGGGAAGTCAAAAAGAAGAATACCAAATAATACATTGCATTGAGAATTGGAAGCATACATGAAATGAATGAATAACAAGTGTAAAAATTTCGAAGAATTGATCAGG